CCCACACACACACACACACACACAAAGCATCAATACTATATGACTTGTTAAAGAGAGGGTAGATTTTTGGGTCCAAAGAGTTTGCAAGTCTTGTTTAGGCTGACAATCCACAGTGTGAGTAGTAGTCATTGGCCATGTGTGTCTGTTAGCATACTAACAGTCACTATTTTGCTTTTTTCTTTGTATTTGGCACAAAGAACTTTGCAATTTCAGTGGTACAAACAACTAAATCTTTGATTTTGTGACATAACTAATATTTATTTCTTTTTATTGTTTTGCTTTTTTGTTGACTAAAACAGATCAAACATAAACCTGAGCATAACCTGGATTTAAATCTAAATTTTCCAATTCTAGCTACAATTCTAGTTAACAGCAGCCTAGCACCATCATAGGAGAGGAATGCAGTAGAAAAATGTGATTTAAAGGTCAAGCAACACTGTATGCAGAAAGCAGATTTTTATGATATTACAAACACATGCTGAAGGTCAAACCCACAACTGAATAACAGGATTTTTTTGATTGTCCTCTCAAGTTGCACTGGGATTGCTGGGCTAATGAGCAACATCAGTCACAAGCAGGGCAAAGCCTGGCTCTGGTAATAAGCTAGAAGAATCTATGGCATTTGTATCAAAAATAGCAGTCTATAAGGCGCTAAATAGATAGCAAGAGTAGCTATACTCTAATAGCGATTTTGCTGTTGAAGTCAAGGCATGCTCTGAAGAACAAAACGTACTCTAGCACTGCAAAGCATTTTTTCATGCCAGGCATTCTGTATTGCTGCAAAGAGCAAACTGCTGTTTGCCTTGTCTTCTCTCCTCTATGCATCATATTCGGTAAATTCAGTGCAAAATCATTTTTTGTGGTGTTTTTACCACCGTTATTGTATGCTTCATGTAAACCCAATAGACTTGGATAGTTTGACCAGAAAGATAAAAATTATATTCTAAATATTTCTACAGTATATCAAAAAATAGTCATTAACAGAAATACATTTCTAGATTATCACATTCTACATACTTAGAAAACATAAACAATGCTAACAGTTAAATGATTTCTTTTTCATTTTGGTGATGAGACTAGTGTTTGGTTCATCACGTTTGTATAAAAAAAAATAAAACACTGGGTGGTAGGATGATTTACAAAGTACCTGTCTTAGCACCTTGTTAACATTGAACAGCAGAGATTGGATTAGTTACGTTTCAGACTTTCAGACTTTGACGAGCCTAGTCCATTTGTAAATGACAGTATGTCTGTAGCCGTAGGTTATCTAATCCCCACAACAATGTGCCCACCTCTCTGAAGGGCATTGATTAAATAATATAAACCTTAAATATGCGTAAACTATCCCTTGTAGAATATAAGGTCCCAGTTTACAAAGCACAACATGAATCGGTCTGGATAAAACATCTTAAGGTTTCCATTAAAAAAAAAAAAACTATCACAGTTTGAATGTGCTTTTTTCTCTGTTTTCTTTCTCTCAATTATTATGCTCATTATTGTATGTGTTGATGCATGTTAGTGTATGTAATTGTTTGCTGGATGTGTGTTGTGGCTCAGTTGTGGCCCTTGAAACAATACACTCCATACAGCTTATGCTTCTTGTCAGGGAAGCCACTGAACCTAACAGCAGCTTCAGTGGGACTGCAGCGCCGGCGTGGGTGGGAGATGGGGTAACGGACACTGCCATCCTCCAACCAGCCTGCATCACAGCGGTCATAGCCCAGCAGCTTCCAGGCAGCATACATCTGGCCAACCTTGGCAATTTGAGCACCATCTTTTTGGCATGCCCTGACTGCCTCATCATAGGTCAGCTTAAAGGGTTGGATCAGGTAGTAGAAACGACCTGAGGTGACAAGAAAACAGAAGGATGAACATAATGGGTTAGAACATACAGAAAATATATCAATGTATCAAATTCCTGCAACCTAACCAGAGTGACATGATCCTGTCACCACAACAAGACAGGATATACATGCTTTGATGCCTTTACAAATTTGACGAAGTAAAAACATCCATCATTTCATATTATACGCCATCGTTTGTTTTGTGGTGTTGCAAAATACACTGTTTACGGCAATATTGAGATGATGAAGATCAGATGAGAAGCAAAAAAAGAGCCGTCAGGTGCTGAAAAATGAACCTTAGACTCAAACGTTAGAACAGCCTTTTTCACACGGCACGCCATGTAATAAATAGAAAGTAAATGGCAGCCGTTACAACAATCTAAAGATATATAGTTTCATGCATTGGTCACAGGTACACTCCAGGTACACAACGCCCAGCTGAAAACACTTTACCCAAGTCGAGTTGCCCGAGATTCACAGAATTTACCAAAAATGCGATATATATCATTATCGGGATGAGAAATGTCTTACATCGGGATAAGAGATTTTGGTCATATTGCACAGCCCTCAAAATCTGTTGAGACCATGTGTAACATTCAGACATTCCGGAATATAATAAAATAACTGTAATTTGTCATTTTCATCAAAAGATAATGATGTGATTTACTATCTTTTTTCAGCTATTTTGTAAAACTGTACATTAAAAGAATTTGGACTAGAATATTTGTATTTTATGATTAAAAATATTATCATAAAGAGCTCTCAAATATTGGTGGAAGCATAAAAAATCATTTTGATAATTACTAGTACTTAGTACGCAGCTGTGACATAAAACTTACACTGAGTGGTGGTCTAAAAAATCGGATACCACATCCTAACCCCACAAGCTCTAAGTTACCCTCTGTTCCACACTATTCAGTATTGTGCCCTGGGACACCTGAACAAAGAGGGAGGAGTCCAGTGGTGGAAACCATGGTCTGTCTCCTGAGTCACATCTATTCTAGGTGCTGCTATAGGAAGTAAGATGCAAGCATCCCAGTTGGAGCTCACATGGCTCTTCATACTAACTCATATTAAAGCTGGATTGAATAGTGTGTAAAAAACAAAAACAACAAAAAAACAAACAACAACAATTTGATAAATATCAGGTCACTAGCTACATTTTAAAGACATGTTAATACCAAGTGTTAATTAACTTCTTTAGACCTGCTATCCATCAGGGCACTAGCATCCCATTTGTGGTTAGGGCTGGATTTTGTTTTAGCCACATAAAAAAGAAGCACACTTTCAGAAACTCTTACATGTTGGTATTATAGTATTAACAGTCGTTTCTTTTTCAATTTTAGGTGGCCAAACAGGTAAAAATGTTTTCAATCAACTCATAACCCAGTAACCACAGAGAGCATGTTGCCCTCAGTATTGCAGATGTGTTTGTCGCCAATACCTACAAAAACACAGTTTTAGTGCTGTTCCTCACCTTTGTAGTGGGAGGTAAAGCAGAAAACATCATAGTGGTTCTTGTCCTTGTCTCTCAACCCATAGTTCCGAATGCCTGGCACTGTGTTCTTGCCACCACAGGGTTCTCTGGGGGTGTTGATGGGATACTGGACTGTGCCATCAGACAGCCAGCCAGCATTGCACCAGTCCATCCCTCCACGCCATGTGTCATACAGTTGGTCAAAAGATGCCACGATAGCATCCTGATCGTGGCACGCCCGCTCTGCATCGTAGAAATTAAGGTTGTAGCGTCCCAGGCGGGGGTAGTATGGGAAGACAACACCTGCACAGACAGGGTGAAAACAGAAAATGAGGGCAGAGAAGGAGATGCAATAGAATAGAATAGAATTTATTTTGAACATGTCAATATAACTAAAATAACAAGAAAACACATACACAAAACAAAGGCATCAAAGTTGTCATTAATATCTCTATATCCACTCAATTAATACGCTTGAAAAGGAGTAGAAAAGATAGATTTACACTTATTTGTTGCTACCCGCTTGTTTCAAATACCACAATTTGCTAAAAATATAAAAATGAGACAAGGATTCAATAGAACACAATGATACAGCAACATTCATGTAACTTATTGTTTTTACATGAATCCTTACTACATAGGGTTTCCTCTAAGGGTATTTGGTCTTATTTGGAACAAGTTCTGAATGTTGTGGCTCAAAGATTTGTTTCCTACTTTATACATTATTTGTGCAGTTATCAGGTCAACCAAGTCTTTAAATTTAAGAATATTTAATTTAATAAAAAGTTGATTTGATGCTTCTTTTTTGCAGAATATATATTGGATGGTGTGTGTTCTATAGGTGGCTCCCCACAATTCCACACAGTACAGAAGTATAATGGAACAATACAAAGTATATAATATATAATGATGTTTGATTTAGAAGATCCTTAACTTTATAGAGATGACCTGCAGCCAGGATAAACTGGATGTGTTTGGTCAGCTGTGTGTGTGTTTGACTGGCTCCAGTTTTTGTCTTCAGCTGACATTACCCCCCC